AGGCGGAGCTAGCACGTCAAATATGGTTTCGGTCGAACCTGTTAGAACTCTGTATTCAAAAAGCAGTAAATGAACAAACGTTAGTTTATAAAATAAAAGCATAAAATGCCGAGCCCACAAGTTTCTTGTGTTTCCTTAAAGAATTTAATCCCCTCACAATGCCCAAGGTTGCGGATTAATTCTCCCAGGATAGAACGGAATAACTATTCTGTGATAGCGGCACTTCAAATCACAGAATTTCGTCGAACTCAAATGGCGGAGCAAATCACACAAAATTCTTACGTTTTTGGTTTTAGAAAACAATGCAGAATGCAGAAGTTTGAGGGGAGTGATGTCAGATTTTTCGGTGGTGGAAAATGAGGCTAAGCCCCTCTATTTATAGCCAAGTTTTGCACTGTTTCTGGAAAAGTTTTGATCGCTGCCAACTCCGCACCACTAAAAAATAGCGAGAGAGGGTCGCAATAGCTTTTAACCGATTCGTGGGTCGGGATCGATTTCCGCAGTGAGCTAGGAATGGAATCGAGTATCTATCTAGAGTGGAGTTGTGTAATTGTTCCAAATATCACTCTCAATCATTTTTGGTCTTTTCTTTATATTCTACTATTATCAACTACTAATTATAAATGCAGCTAGATTATGCAAAACGAGAATTGCTACAAGTTGTATCTAATGGTTTAAAAGGCACTAGGATAGTAACTTTCACCTAGGTGGTTAATTGACGGGTAATTGCATCTAAGGCACGATCGACATGATTGGGGAAATATGTTATAACCATTGCTCAATACTACCCAGTCTACACCTCTCGGTAGAAAGAGTGGTTTTGCCCAATTGACTCTCTCGAGACCAATTGGGTATGCATAATTGCCCAAGCAACTAGGGTTCAAGTCGGGTAATTACTCTCTCGAGGTTTAACCCTTTAATTGGACTATCAAATCTCTTGAGTCCATCCCAATTTCTTGTTGAGTCAATTTGGGAGACTTAGGCTCTCTTTCTCAAGAAGAACCCAAGTCTACTAAGCACAAACTAGTGTTTGCAACCACTAATTCATAAATTAAACCATAAAATTGACCCAAATAACAAACACCCATAATCAATCTAACCTTAAATCACAACACCCATCAATTACCCACACTAGGGTTGAGCCACAACCCTAGCTAATGGGTTTAGCTACTCATGCTTGAAGATAAAATCAGAGAAATAGATGAAGAGAAAGGCATAATATTAAATTACTGAAGTAAATATAATGATTCAATTGCTAAAACTACGTTAAAGTGCCCAAAATGGCTACAAAATGGCTTCTCACGAGCGCAGCTACTGTTCTGTAATATCTGATAATAGCTGATTACCCTAAAAATGGAAAAATATTCTATTTATACTAAGCTGGAAAAACTGGACAAAAATGCCCCTGCGGGGTCAGTGCGGACCGCACAAAATGGTGTGCGGCCGCACTAGGCTCTTGACTCTGAAAAATCACTCTCTGAACCCAGGCTCCGCGGACCGCACAGAATGGACTGCAACCGCGGAGGCATCTAGCGCGGTCCGCACAAACACGACCGCGGACCGCACAGGCTTGAAACTTGGCACTTGACATCTCTCTGAAGTTTGTTTCCGCGGATCGCATAAAATGGTGATGCGGCCGCGGTGTCTCCAGTGCGGGCCGCACAATATCTACTGCGACTGCACTGCTTTGATGCCCTAAAAATGCAGTCTCTGAATCTCCCTAGTTCGGACAGCACAGAATGGACTGCGGCCGCACTAGGCTAGTTTGTCCTGAGTTTCCTTTGTCTTTGATACTTGTGCAGGTTTCACTCCTTTTGAGCCAATATTTGACATCTCGTCACTTTGTTGATCAAACCTGCAATCAAGCACAACTTATGAGCCTTTTGGGTCTATTTTATAAGAATTTATAATCAAAGCGTAAGCAAGAAGGAGCATGAAACACGTCAAAATCCCTAGTTATCAGGTTTGCAACCTTTCAGAATAGCCATGGCTGTTGGAACAGCTGTGGCTGTTGGAACAGATGGAAAAAATCGCGGGAAACAACTAACGGATTTAAAATAATTCGGGAAAGAAAAACGGACCGGACCGGACCGGGTTGTGGGTCGCGGGTTTTTTCGGATTGAATTTTCATTAATTAATTTGATTAATTAATTGAAAAGAATTTCGTCCAAAAAGATTAATCAATCAATCTTTGACCAAATCCAAATCCGAATCCGAATCTAAATCCGAAGCCGAAGCCGAAGCCGAAGCCGAGCCGAGCGACGACGACGACGGCGCGAGGCACCACTTCTTCTTAACTCTTTAAGAGCTAGAAGATGAGCTTCTATATATATACACAAAGATTTTCTTTCCTTCTTCCAATGAGGGACAAAGTGCATTAGTAAAGTGAACTAATTCAAAATTTTACTTCCCTCCATTTCTTTTCCCATCATTTTCCATTCACACCTCCTTTTGCTATTAAGAACAAAATCCAACAATCCCCCACATGAATGGGGAATGGCTATCCGAAACAAATATGCATGAAAAACTGTGTGTGATTCGCAAGTAAGGATTAACCGCATCTGGATAAGTAAGTTTCCCTTTGAACTTTCCATAGTGAACATATGTCGGATATACTCGATCAATCGGTAGATTTGATATCTTTGAATCGTCGAACTTTGGTGTATACCTAGACAACCATATGTCATACAATCAACCCTTAACCGTCTTTGTTTCTCATTGTTGTGTTCGTTTCAGCCATGAACACTGCCTGGTTTCATAAGTGCGTAGAGAACTGGCCTTACATCATTCTCCTTGAAGCGGCTTACACTTCACACTTATATAGGTGATTCCTAAATGTGTTATCCCATAGATACACTATTTGATTTACCCCGTATCAAACTTAGAAACCATTAGAAAGTCCTAACGCTTTATCCTTGGTACTGAACATTGTCTGCATCATGAGAATGGACCAAAATTTTATTCGACAATGTTGAACCGTCACTAATGACTTTGTTTGATCTCCTTGAACCTAGATCCTGGGATCTCCAGTCTTCTAGGTAGAGTTACCGCCATAGTGACTTGTCTTTGGCCATAGTCCCATTCCTTTTGATGACTTCTCAACCGCCTCTCTAGGTAGGCCTTTTGTAAGCGGATCCAATACATTATCTTTTGACTTTACATAGTCAATTGTGATAATTCCACTAGAGAGTAGTTGTCTAATGGTATTACGCCTTCGTCGAATGTGAAGAGATTTCCCGTTATACATAACGCTCCCAGCCCTTCCTATTGCTGCTTGACTATCGCAATGTATGCATACAGGTGCCAAAGGTTTGGGCCAAAAAGGAATGTCTTCTAAGAAATTCCGGAGCCATTCAGCTTCTTCACCGGCCTTGTCTAAAGCTATAAACTCAGACTCCATTGCAGAGCGAGCGATGCATGTCTTTTTGGACGACTTTCAAGACACTGCTCCTCCACCAATGGTAAAAACTTATCCACTTGTGGGTTTTGTTTCCGTTGATCCGTTGATCCAATTTGCATCACTATATCCCTCAATAACTGCGAGATAATTATTGTAATGCAATGCATAGTCTTGAGTATATTTCAAATATCCCAAAACTCGTTTCATTGTTATCTAATGAGCTTGGTTGGGATTACTTGTGTATCGACTAAGCTTGCTTATTGCACAAGCTATATCAGGTCATGTACAATTCATGATGTACATCAAACTTCCCAACACTTGAGCATATTCCAATTGAGATTTGCTTTAACCTTTATTCTTTACAAGAGTATGGTTTAAATCAATTGGCGTTTTTGCTTCTTTAAAGTTGAATATTTGAACTTTTCAAGAACCATTTTAATATAATGAGATTGAGACAAAGCTAGACGGATTCTGTAGGATCTTAATTCCCAAAATTAAATCGGCAACTCCTAAATCTTTCATATCAAATTTACTAGTAAGCATGCACTTAGTAGCATTTTATGTTAGCCATATCGTTACTTATTATCAACATATCAACCACATATAAACAAACAATGACTATTTGATTTGGATTATTCTTTATATAAACACATTTGTCACACTCATTGATCTTGAAACCATTTGACAACATTGTTTGGTCAAATTTCGCATGCCATTGTTTTGGTGCTTGTTTTAGTCCGTAAAGTGACTTAACAAGTCGACACACCTTCTTTTCTTTTCCGGAACTACAAACCCTTCAGGTCGTTCCATATAGATTTCTTCCTCTAAATCTCCATTTAAGAGGGGCGTCTTTACATCCATCTGATGGATTTGAAGGCCATACACGGCGGCTAACACTATTAACACCCGAATAGATGTAATCCTTGTTACCGGCGAGTATGTGTCAAAGTAATCAAGACCTTCTCGTTGTCTAAACCCTTTAACAACTAATCTTGCCTTATATTTGTCAATAGTACCATCAGCTTTTATTTTCCTTTTGAAAATTCATTTAGAACCCAAAGGTTTATTTCCCGGAGGAAGATCAACCAATTCCCAAGTATGATTACTTAATATGGATTCTATCTCACTATTGACTGTCTCTTTCCAATATTGTGTTTCTGAGGAAGACATTGCTTCTTTGAACGTTTAAGGCTCATTTTCCAATAAGAACGCCAGAAAATCTGGTCCAAAGGAAGTAGCTGTCCTTTGATGTTTACTACGTCTTGGATTTTCCTCATCAAACGTACTTTTCTTTGTTTCTTCCACTACAAGAAATTGGATAATTAGTGGCGACATTTAGCAGCAACCCTATAAGTTGCTACAAAATATATATTATCAGCAGCGACTTTAAAAGTTGCCACAATTTTTTTATATTTAGCAGCGACTGTTCGTAGGTCGCCTCTAAAGTGGCTAAAATTTTCACTCCCGCTAAAATTAAAATTTTGGCTCCATATTTATTGTGGCGACTTTTGTAAAGTCGCCGCTAAATATGTATTGCAGCAACTGGGTCGCTCCTATTCCCTTTTAAAATAACAAAAGAAAATAATTAGTAAATGAAACACTAAAATCGGTCCAGAGACAGAAGCAACGAAACTCTCATCTCGAACGCATCGAGTCGGTGTGAAGAACAGAGAAGTGCCCAAAATCGGTCCTCTATAGCTAGAAATCCCAAATCGAAACCCTAAAACGGTCCTCTCTAGCTAGAAATCTGTCTAGATAATAGAAATCCCTCAAAAATCTCACCCAAATCGAAATCCCTCAAATCAGAATGTGAATTCGATTGGGTGTTTATGATACTTGCCGAAAAATTCATTTTGAAGCTAAATCTTAAGATTGGAAGTTGGTTTGACGAGTTTTGGTTTGAATTTGTGAATCGAGTTGTGCGAAGAAGAAGACCACAAGGGTCTTTCGATTCAAAGCTTCTTCAACTTCAAGTATTCAAGAACTTGTACACAATTGCGGAAGTCGGCAAAGGGCAAAATAATATAGAAGTGAAATTTTAACAACTCAGGTATGTTAAAATCCCTAATCTTTTCGTTTTTCTTTGGGAAAAGAAGTTGCATTGCTGTAATCAAGTAGTTTAATTTTTTAAAGTTGAAATTTTTAATTAAAAAATTTCACTTCTATACATGCCAGTAGGCTTTGATTAAGTTATCTCATTAGTATATTGTTGGACATATCTTCGATAATTCTCAAAAGTGACTATTGAAAGGTGATAATGATATAAATCCTTTGCCATGTGTGAGTGAAAACTTGTGTGTTATGCAGTTCTAACCAGAGCAGTTTTAAGTTTACATTTTCTGTGAGAAAATGTGAAATATATAATTCAAAATTTCCCATCAGAAACTTGCTCATTGTGTCTGACCCTCTTCATGAAAAATTAGGTATACTAACTGAGAGTAGTGCATATCTATCCACCAGTAAATTATCACAGATATAAACCCCAAAGAATTTCGTTGAAGGAGATCTCACCAACCCGTTGTTGCTGTTTTCTTGTTTTCTTCCCTTTTATTAAGTAACTTTCTTACACCCCACAGCGAAGCTTGGTTCTTCCTAGTCGTGTTCGAGTTGGGTTCAAGTTTTTTATGAAATGGATCGGTCTTTGTTTATTTGCTGTTCTCCTAAGCCGCTCAAGATTATTATCATTGAAAACACAATTTTGGTTCTGGCAGGTCTCTTCTTGGTATGGGATTAGTTTCACTCTTAGCAATTAGATTGACTGATTCACTCGGTTAAAGAATCCTAGGAGTTTTCTTGTCTTCGTAGTTTGATCTTCGAATAGCTTTTGCCTGTTTTAAAATCTCTGAATAGTTGTGGTACAAAGTCTTTTGCAGAAGTAGAGGAATCTACAGTAAAAATATATTTAGTCCCCTACTACCACATATGCTTCTTTGTTATTTACATATTTATATATTCGCTTATTTATTTTTTCTCCGTAACTATATTGTAGAGAAATTCTATTACTGGAGAATCGGACACACCAGATAAAGTTTGGGAGATCCAACATACACCCAAGGATGATAGAGGCAAACTGGTGTGGTTGGATTCACAATCCCAACAAATTCATGTAATTATCTAAAAACACTTATAAAGTTCTCTGTTTCTGTAAGTTTCATTTAATATGTTTTATTATGTTTTGATTTAATTGATTATGCATAAATGCAGGGTCAACTCCAGGAAGTTGTCGCTCAGCAACAATCTAAGGAGATCGAGCATCCCATGACTAGAGATGAGATTTTATCCTCCGTTGTTGGTGAGAGAACATGCTATGTTCGTGGAAAAGGATACGGAAAGAAGCCTCCTAAAAAGAGTAACACTCAGCAGGCAAACACAGAGGCCAGCGTGTGCGTCAGGAGATGCAAGCCGAGATGGATAGGAAGTTGCAAGAAGAACGTGAACAAATGGTTGCTGAGTTGCGAAGAAATATGGAAATTGAGTTGGAAAGGAAGTTGGTAGAGGAGCGTCAACACGCAAATGAGGAGCGTCAACACGCAAATGCAGAAACAGACAAGAGGATCTGTCTAGAAGTGGAGAAGAAGATGCACGAACAATTTGCTAGTTTCTTGACCAGAATGCAACAACAACAGGTACTTGCTCCGCTCCTTCTTAACAATTCTTCTTCCTTCTCGAAATTTCTTCTTCCTTCCTTCTGTAGTGACTTCATGTTTAGGGGTTTAGTAATGTGTTGGTATCTCTGGTTTTAGTAATGTGTTGGTTCTATTTCAACAGAAAGGTTGGTTTTAGCTGGTTTTTTCTCGACTTCATATTAACTGGTTTTTTCTTCTGAACTGTGTGTGGATAATCATATTTCTACAGTAATAGCAATCACTAACATGAGCACTGCTGTAATTTTCCTGGAAGGATAATCACTATGTCATTATCTGTTGACACTGATCTTTCTTAACATTCTTGGAATCAATTTTAATCCAAGCTAACTGAAGTTCAACCATGCGACATAACAGATATATGGTGATTTGACCTGATCTGTTATATTCTTTCCCCTGTATTCTCTTGGTTTCTTTTCAGAGTGGCAGATCAAGATGGAGTATGGGGCTTGCATTACAATATCTGCAATGAGTAACATCAGTGCAGGAATTGTTCCTTCTCACCTATGTTGTGATTTGTGTGGATATTGTCATCTAGCTGTTAATTTTTTCTAAAGTGGCGTTATGAATGATTTGTGCGCTGCTGACTGCTAATTGATAAAAGTTAATTTGGAAATTACCCTGTGGGTTTTAGTAGTCTTTGTGAAGTTTCAGTTAGAAATAGAACATCAAAAATCTTCTTTGTATTCTTTGTTTATCATTTTTGGAATTGGAACATTCCGTGTGTTAAAAGAAGAACGCAGCTTGGCATGCAAAAGTGAGTTGGATATTTGTGTTGCCATTGCTCCAGCTTTAATCCAGTTGATTTAATAGGTGTATGATGTTTTGTTGGGATATTCTGTTTGTTTGCTCTTTTATTTTTTGTTCTTTTTTCAAAGAAGAATATGCTTGATGAGTGCTGAACTTAATCTATGTGCCATCACTCAAGGTGAACAGTACTTCGTACGTCTAGTTGTCTTCATATGAAATCTACTTGCTCTTTTGTTTCTGGAGACGGCTTTACTTGACAGAAAATCAGAAATGTTGTTTAGACATTTCGTTCTGGAAACATTCCTTATGTATGTGGTGTGTGACTTAGAGCCGCGAGATAGTTTGCTACCTTGTTTGCTTTTCTGTAGCAGTGCTAGATGGTACTGCGTACCCCTCCATGTTCTATCTTAGATGTTTCATGTTAAGACTCCCATGTATGAACTTCTATTTGGTGTGTGTATTTGCCTTGACTTATGTGTTCTACGTACCCCTCCATGTTATAGGAACTTTCTGTTGAGATTTTTATAAGGCTAACAAGTTAAAGGTTGTTCTGCTCTTATCCATATACTCATCTACCTCTCAAGTATCATATATTATGATGTTGTTTAAGATCCTAGCTTCTTTGTTAGTTATGATACTAAGGTCCTATTGTGTATGTGCCCTTGATTAAATTAGAGCTTGCCCGGATAACATAGATCGTCACCAATTTCCTTTGTGCTGGTAAATGCTACATGTCATTTGCTTTTGTTTAGTCAAACTATGCATTACCAGTTAATTTGGTGAGAAAATAGGAAAGTATATGAAGTTAAACAGGAGTGTATAAAACACTTACTCAAATTATACATTATATGACAAGCACTTCAAACCATAAATATGTCACTGAGTTTTTAGTCGGAAAAACTTGCTTGCAAAAACTTATACTATATCCAGAAGCTAAGTGGGAATTAGAAATCAAAGGCCCCAACCATGGATGATATTACTCTCAACAGCCATGCTCCTTGACCCTGAGGCTCCTTCTGCAGCCATATAGTGATGATACTGTAACGACCCGACCAGTCGTTTAGAGCTTTTGCACCATGCTCGCCAGTTCTCGGGCATGACCTGCCCCGTATGATGTATTGAGACTTATGTAAATTGTTGGTTTTGACTTTCAAGGTAATCAGAATGAATTTGGAAGAACAGTTCTCAGTTTGAAGCTAAAAATTTCAAAGGTTTGACCAAGATTTAACTTGTTTGCATATGATCTCGGATCAGAATTTTATGATTCGGTTAGCTTCGGGAGGTGATTTATGACTTAGGAGTGTGATCGGAATGAGTTTTAGAGGTTTGGAGTAGCTTTAGGCTTGAAATGACGAAGTTGATATTTTGGCGATTTCCGGTTGATAGGCGAGATTTTGATATAGAGGTTGGAATGAAATTCCGAAAGTTGCAGTAGTTCCATTGTGTCATTTGGGATGTGTGTGCAAAATTTCAGGTCATTCGGACGTTGTTTGGGTGTGTTTTTGATCAAAAGCGTAATTTGGAAGAATTTGGAATTCTTAGGCTTGAATCCGGTGCAAATTTGGTGTTTTTATGTTGTTATGAGTGTTCCGAAGGTTGGAACAAGTGTGAATGATGTTATGGGATATGTTGGCATGCTTGGTTGAGGTCCCGAGGGCCTCGGGTGAGTTTCGGGTGGTCAATCGGACCATTTCGTGTTGTTTGAAATTGCAGAAAACCAGCTGAAGTGTTGCAGACAATTTGTTCTTCGCGTTCGCGGTCAGGGACCTGCGTTCGCGAAGGGTGATCTTCTGAGGTGCGACTTTTTGCCTTTGCGTTCGCGTTTAGTGTGTCGCATTCACGATGTTGTGATGTTTGATCCTCTGCGTTCGCATAGAGTAAGTAAAAAAAGATGGGGTCCCAGCCTTTTGTGCTTCGCGTTCGCGTAAGGAGGTCGCGTTCGCGATGGTTTGGAAAGCGGACGCTTCGCGTTCGCGAGATGGATGTCGCGTTCGCGTAAGGGAATTTTTGGTCAGCGGATTTTTGTGCTTCGCTAACGCGAGGCTTTGACCACGTTCGCGAAGAAGGATTTTTATGCCTGGGCAGAATATTTTAAAAGGGCTATTCCGCGATTTTGAGGCTAAGAACCTCCATTGTTGAGCGAGTTTGAAGCTTGGGAGAGCTAATTTAAGAGGGAATTCAAGAAGATTTCTTGTGTGAATTCCACCTAGTAAATCATGAAAATTAAGCCAAAAGGTGAAGAACTAGGGCTTGGAAATTTAGACTTTTGATTGGAAATTTGAAGGGGCAATTGAGGTCTGATTTTGATGTTCTTAGTATGTATAGACTCGTGTGAGGACAAGGTTTCTATTTATGTAACTTTTGTCGGATTCCGAGACGTGGGCCGGGGGTCGAGTTTGAGCAAATTCGGGATTTGGATGTTTAATTGGATATTTTCGAGTGGGCTTCGCTCCCTTAGCATGTTTTAATGATTATGTACTGATTATGGATAGATTTGGAGCATCCGGAGGTCGATTCGTGCGGGCAAGGCATCGCGGGCTAGAGTTTGGACCCGATCGAGGTAAGTAATGATTGTAAATGATATTCTAAGGGCTTGAAACCTCGGAATTCACATCGTAGTGCTATATTGAGGTGAGGCACACGCTTGATGACGAGCGTGGGGTCGTGCACTATTGGGGACTGTGACTTGGTCCGTCCCGATTGATGATTTTATCGCGTATTTGACTGAAATCTATTTGTTATCATCATTATTTGGGCTGAATGCCATATTTCGGCTTCTTGCCAACTATTTGAACCCTTCGGGGATGTTTGTTAATATTTCCTCACTGTTTTGACTTTACATTTGAACTCAGTCATGTTATTTTCCACTGTTTTTAAAACTCAGCCATGTTCACTCAGTTTTAATACTCAAATGATATTTAAATGATGTTTTGGGCTGAGAAACACTGTTTTACTGTTGCCCGAGAGGCTTATGTGATTTTTGATTTGTAAGGCCGAGGGCCTGTGTTGTGAGGATATCTTTTGGGTCGGGCTGCACGCCGCAGCGGTGATACACTAATACTGATGTGAGGCCGAGGGCTTGAGATATGTACGCCACGAGGTGGCTTGATTGATATGAGGCTGAGGGCCTAGATTTAATGCCACGAGATGGCTTGTTATTGCGCTTGGGTTGTAAGGGGCCCCTCCAGGAGTCTGCACACCCCCAGTGAGTGCGGGTACCCATTGTGATGTGAGGTATAGCCCGAGGGGCTGGTATTGTTCTATGTAAGCCCGAGGGGCTGGTACTGTTCTGAGATATTGCCCGAGGGGTGGATTTGTTAATATTGTGCCCGAGAGGCGAACCTTATGTGCTTATCTTTCTTATTTGCCTGTCAATTACCTGTTAAATTGTGTATTTGTGCCCGAGGGGCGGATTTCTGTGCTTATCTGCACTAGTTGTTCTGCATTCATTTGCACAATCGTTGAAAAAGTCATTTAAAAAGAAGTTTAAACTGAGCTAAAATGTTTTAAGGGATTTTTACAGCTTCATTGCTTTGTTACTGGTTTTTGAACTGCTTCTATACAGCATGTTGATGCACTTTTCGTGATTTCTTACCATTCAGACTTTACTTATGATTATTACTCACTGAGTTGGCAGTACTCATTTTACTCCCTGCACCTTGTGTGCATATACAGGTATTTTCTGAGCTTGGTGGCAATTGTCATTGGAGTTAGCAAGGTAGCTGCCTGGCGATCGCAGCTCTGCTTTCTCCCTCTTTATTCCTCCTTATGTAATATTGCGATTTTTCCAACCATTTCGGTCTTGATGTTACTAGACAATTGTAGTAGATGCTCATGATTAGTGACACCCCGGTATCGGGCTGAGTTGGTTTGTATTCCGCAAATTGTTTTGTATTGTCATTGTTACTTCTGAGTTTAATATCATGTCTAGACATAATGCTTATTGTTTAATTGCTTAAAGACTGGATTGGAAATGTGCCGGCTGGCCTTGTCTTCACGAGAGGCGCCATCTCGACCGGGTCTGGGTTTTGGGTCGTGATCGGTTAGTATCAGAGCCTAGGTTGCATAGGTCTCACGAGTCATGAGCTGGTTTAGTAGAGTCTCGCGGATCGGTACGGAGACGTCTGTATTTATCCTTGAGAGGCTGCAGAACCTTTAGGAAAACTTCATATTCTTGAAATTCTTATCGTGCGTCCTTGATTCAGCTTGAAATATAACTCTTTGAACTCCTTCCACGCATTCGTATGCGCGAACGAGCGCTCAGTATCAAATGTGCATTGATGGGTTGTGATTCCCTGATTGAGGGGTGAGATGTGATCTCTATGTGCTGATGTTGGGCCAGTCTGGAGGACTCGAGGCTGGATTTTTGCCTATAGCTTGAGCACCGAGGTGCTGATTGTGTCAGCACGTGTTTCTGGATCTATGTGTTTTGTTGTATCCCTATTGATAGAAGTAATGACTGGATAGTTACGTGATGAGTATGTTATGACTGCGAGGTGCATTCATATGATTTGGAAACGACGAGAAGGGTCTGCTGGAGGATAGAAGAACTATTAGGTACTTGATTTTCATCTCGATTGGAGGTACATCCCTGAGTTATGGGTGTGTGAAGAATCTTTTCATGTGTTCTAGTTGGGAGTGACGTAAATTTCATGTTATGGTATGAGTTCAGACTCAGGAGGATTAAGTGACTGCGTAATGTTTATGACCATGGAAGCTATACAGAAACGTTAGTTTGAGGCAAGCAGGTGGGGTTATCTCCTACGGAGTGTTCTGAGGTTGTGTGATCCTTATGTTGTCTGTTAGAAGATCTCATTCACAAGTGAAATATATGTGTTGAAATTTAAACTTGGGTCGCTTAAAAGAGTGGGGTTCAACTGTTACGAGGGTGAATGCGAGATTTGCATAAGATTTAAAGTACTAGATGGTCTGTGTATCACGAGCTTATGAAGGATTGAGTTTAATCACACTATGGTATATAGGTAGCAATAAAGTATATGTGTTATGAGTTATTGTGTGTGTTTTGATCTATGGCTTCGAGCCAAGTGGGGGAGTCTGCTACTGATTGGCTGATTGCACGGTTA